CGCTGCAGGGTTCTTACATTCTAAAGAGGGACAGGAAAATCAATTAAAAACAAGTACGTGCAAAGCTCCATTTGTTGCTGTTGCTGGGAGAATAGATTGTCTTGTTCATTTTATGTCCTGGGTCTGTAGGTAAATTGTAAAATCCTTGTTATTGAAAATTCCTTCCGTCTTCCACAAATGTTTATTGAGCCCATGCTATTTTCTAGGCACGTGGGAGAAACAGGGATAAATTAGATGCTGATCTGGCACTCACCTTGGGAGTTGGAGAAGGGAGAGTACGGATTTTCTGTTAAGTGTGAGGGAAAGCACACATTCTGCTTCACTTCAGAATGCTGAGTATTATTTACTTTAGATCACTGAGGATCTTGCAAGGGCCTCCCATTGCCTTAGTGAGTTAATAGAGAGCTCAAAGTGGGGGGTGCTACAAACAGATGTCCACTGAATTTGCTTTTCCAGCCCGTACTATTTATATGCTAATACAAGTTATGACATAATATTATAAATAATACTTGCATGTTATGCTAATTATATATTATATATGACTATGTAATATTGTTATATTAATTATATATTACAAGTAGAATATTATAATATCAGATATTGCTACTTATATATGTATGCTTATATAATACTGATTATACATCTATACATATAATACTAATTTTATATTCTAATTATATATATTATATATTTTTATATTTCTGTATTTTATATTATATAAAAATACTCATGTATTGTTATATAATTATATAAATACATAAGTAACCCAGTTACTTATATCATCTCATTTTGCTACCAGAGGTATCTTTTCCTTGAAAATGGGAATGGTAAAGTTCTGCTCAGGTCAGATGCTAGATACGTTAATTGAATCTGTGCTTTACACCTACTCTGTAATGCTAAAGGACATGGCAATCTGCAAAATGATGAGAGCCCCCCCCCCCGTTTCATCACATTCCTGTACTTTCTCATGCATCCATTTGACAAGTGTTACCAAACACCTGTTATATGCCAGGCTCTGCCCTGGGCACTGGGGTACAGAGCCCGCTATGGCATGGTCTCTGGCCTCATGGGACCCACAGACGGGTCGCTCAGCAGACCCAGAAAGGTCCTGGTGGCTGCTGTCCTGGAGGAAGGAATTACAGGTCTATGGTGGAGCAAAAAGAGGCAAGCGACCCTGCCGGGGAAGGATTTCTGGAAGAAGAGTTGCCTAAGGGGGAATGGCTGTGATCAGAAGGCAGAAGCGGAAGGACAGGCATGATAGGCAGGGGACAGCATGTGAGGAACTAGTGTCCATGTTAAAATAGGGTGATACCTTCAGGAGAGCAGGACAGATTTGCTGACATACTGTCAGATACTGCTGACATAATAGCGAGAAAAATAATAATAGTATTCATGGGAGTAGTAACAACAAATACTGAGCATTCACTGTTGTAAATGATCTAAGCCCTTGGATGCATTATGTCAAATAGTCCCACAAAAACCTTAGAGTATAGATAGGCTTACATTCTGCATATTAAGATGAACGAACAGAAGAACTGATATGTTACTCAAGCTTGCTCAGCCGGTGAGTACAGCAGATCCAGGCCTGCCATCTTACCCTAGTGGCCTTGGACCAGGTGTCTAACCTCCGTAAAACTCAGTCTCCTCCTCAGCAGAGTCAGGTTCAAGGTTCATTCTGAGAACACCATGGAATGGGGCTTGCACAGCACTGGGATCATGTCGAATGTCAATCAGTGGTGGATCAAGTGCCATGTTCTGTTAGGGAGCAGATACTAGAAAAGTAGAGGGACAGCATGTTCTCAGGTAAACTGGCTCAGATCTCAGAGAGCCAGCCTGTTGGATAAACTTAAGGGTGTGCTTTTCAGGGGTGTCTGGGTGGCTCAGTAGGTTAAGCATCTGCCGTTGGCTCGGGTCGTTGTCCCACGGTCCTGGAATGGAGTCCCGCATCGGCCTCCCAGCTCAGCGGGGAGTCTGCTTCTCCCACTGCCTCTCCCCCCATTCGTGCTGTCTCTCACTCTTTTTCAAATAAATAAATAAAAATCTTAAAAATTTTTAAATTAAAAAAAAGGGGTCTGCTTTTCATTCTGAAAGCCATGGTAGGCACTACGGAGCTTTGAGACAAATAGTGAGATACTCAGTGTTGTGTTTGAGAAAAATCAATCTGTCCACGGTGTGAAGTACACCTGGAAACAGCCAGGCAGCCAGAAGTGTGTTGTCGTCATCCAGGCGAGGAAGTTCAACAACCCAGACTGAGAGGTGATAGTCACAGAGATGTGCATAGAAACAATACACTAACTGGATATGGAGCTGAAGGAGGAAGAAGAGTCAGGTGACCCCCAGATTCCTGACTTTAGCCAAGCGATAGGTAAATGGTACAGTTTCATCCACCAGGGCAGGAAATGCAGTAAGAGGAATGTTATGGGTTGAATCTTGTTTGTTGAAGTCCTAACCCCCAGTACCTCAAAAGGTGCCCTCATCTGGCCGTAGTGTCTTTAAAGAGATAATCAAGTTTAAATGAGGGTAGGTCCTAATCCAACATGACTGGTATCCTTATAAGAAGGGGAAATTTGGACACAGGTTGGACACCATGGAATGAGGGTTGCACAGCACTGGGATCATGTCGAATGTCAATCAGTGGTGGGTAAAGAGAGGACCATGTGAAGAGGCCTAGGGAGAAGACAGCCATTTACAAACCAAGGACAGAGGCCTGGACCAGACCCTTCCCTCACAGCCATTGGAAGGAACCAACCCTGCTAACACCTTGATTTTGGACTTAGAGCCTCCAGAATGGTGAAACAAATTTCTGTCGCGTAAGCCCCCCGGTCTGTGGTATTTTTGTTACTACGGCCCCAGCAAAGCAATATAAGGAGTAACTCATTTGGAGATAGCCAAAAGTTATGTTTTGGATGAGTTGACTTTGATGTGTTGTTTTTGGATAGCCAGGTGGAGACCGGCACCAAGGTTGTCATTCAATACACAAATCTAAGTCTCGGTGGGGGACTTGGGACCAGAGAATAGAGAGTAAGGTGTGTCACTCATTTCTGACACTCCTGCATCCATCCATCGAACCGTGTGACCATTACATAGTAGGAATTTGGAAAAAGTAGTTGAGTGGATAAATGTCTTGGTGGCCTACGGACAGCGGGCAGGAGGGACCACACAAATACTGGAACTAGATCTCATCTCCCGTCCCAGCACAAACGAGGTTAGCTCAAGCCCTTTTGGATTTTAGAGGATTGCTGCATTGGTTGCTGATATTTCCACTCATCAAGAAGGATAGTCCTCTCTTTGTTCTCTAAAATCAAGTGATAAAAAAAATTAACCAAACATCAAAGGTATTCTTAGAAGAAAGAATGATAGTCTGACAGGAGTCTTAGGTTCATGCCCATGTTCCGAAATGTTGACCCCCAAGTCAGTAACGTGTCTATTTTAGGCAGCAGCTTCAAAGTCTGCTTAGCTTAAAATGTCAAAATAAGTAGATGACATGGCATTACGGAAAATGGCAAGAACCAGAAGTTAGGAGTCCTTGCTTTGAATCTCGATGTGCCTTTGAAGAACTGGGTCTACTTAACCTTTCTGAGTCACCTTTCCCTCATCTGTGGAACAATGATAGGGAGGGAGTAATTGGATGATCTTCTAACCCTGACATTCTAGGATTCTGTCAATGTTGCCTTTCATTGCCAGTGTTAGGAAGAATAACATTTCCAAAAATAGACTTGCCAACCTGATTTAGTCCACCAACATGAACACATGTAATGAAGTGATAGGCAGAAGTTAATATCACAGTTCACTTTGGTCGAATAATCTCTGCCTCCTTAAGATGGCAGAAAGAAGCCTGGAAAGAGTACTTGGTTTTAGAATGCACCTTCATTAGCAGCAAACTGGATTTTACTGGAATGTTTCTGAATTCATATGATCACAGTATTTTGTCCAAGGACTTACATTTCTGACCATACTGAGAAAGGATGTGGAAAAAACACCCATTCCTAACTGGGTTTGTGATTTCTCTTAGACCATTCAATATTTAAACCTCATGCATTCGCCTTTTCTTTATATGCCTGGACATCTCAGCCACAAAAGGGAACAGAGGATTAAGAATTATTGAGTAATTTCTATTAAGTATCGTGTTTTGGGCCAGGTGCTTGGCCCGTGTTACACATTGCCTCATTTAACACGCCCCAGAGTGGATGCTGTCACCATATCTTCTCTGCATTCAATGTTGCTGAAGGTTGCATACTTAGGGCTTCGAGTCTGGCTGTGGGAGTGTGCTTGGCCCATGAAAACAAGCCAGATGTACCTAGGAGTTACTGTTGAAGAAGCAACTCTCGACTGATAGCAGATGGAAATTTAGGAAATAAATACTCCAGCCTCCTCACCATGTGTTTGGGGATAACTCTGAGGTATATTCTACACCTGCTCAGGGAATTCCCCAGAAGGACTGAGTTCCATTTATCCATGGTGGGTGTTGACTTGATAGCACACCCTTTATTGGCTGCCTTCTCTTTCTGTCTCGATACCCTCGTATTTCCTTTGGTCATATTCCAGATAAAGTATTTACTCTCAAACCCTTGCCTCAGCTTCTGGGGGAATCCAAGCTAAGACATCTCCCAAGATCCCTATGGAGTAGGTGCCATTATTGCTAATTTATAGATGAGGAACCTGAGGTTCAGTATGGTAAAATAATAGTTGTTAAGTCTTGGTATGAGAGTGTTTCAGTAGTTATCAACCAAGGGAGACTTTGTCCCCCAGGGGACATTCTGAAATGTCTGGAGACATTTTGGGTTTTCAAAACCGAGGGGTGCTACTTGCACCTAGCAGGTCAGAGGTGCAAGTTGCTGCTAAACATCTTACAATGCCCACTTCAGCCCCCTACAGAAAGACGGATCCAGCCTAAGAAAGGTCAGTAGTGGCAAGGTTGAGAAACCCCACTCTAATCCAGCAAGACTGGCTGTTGGATGGTAACTCTCCTGTGTGACTTGTCTATTGTATTTCACTTCCAGGGCCAAGCTGTGGCTCAGCTGTGTTCCACTATCCCCAATGTGACTGTCTTTGGAACAGCTTCTACTTTCAAGCATGAAGCAATCAAAGAATCCATGACCCACCTCTTTGACAGAAATGCAGACTATGTGCAGGAAGTGAAAAGGTAAGGTGTTTGCTCTAAAGAGTGCCAGGTTGGTCCTTGCTCTTCTCTTAAAGAACAGTAGCACTCATTTAGAGGAGGGCTGATGATCATCATAGTCATAGTAATCATAGTAAACGTATATCGGGGGCCGAGTATTACTAGCTCTGTGCTGAATACTTGATGTGGATGAGCTCACTTAATTCCCAGCAACCCTATTATGACAGCCCCCCCCCAATTTGAAGAGGGTAAAACTGAGGAACAGTGCAGTTGAGTAACTTGCCAAGCTACATTATGATAGTGGTTGTGACATGACCTTTACATCGAGAAGTTTATTTCTCATTCATTCACATGACAGACCAAGGAAATGTGGACTCCAACCTGGGTGTGACTGAGAGCCGCCGGAGGAACGAAGTGGTGACATGATCAGATCTGAGTTTTGAAGAGTCACTGGTGGTGTGTAGAGGAGGACTGGGAGGTGGGGGGCTGCAAGGCAGAGAGATCAGGTTGCTGGTGGGTGTGGACCCACGGTGGGGAACGTGGGTTTATAACCTGACCCATGCTCCACCTGGGGTCCTGAAGCTATTGACATGGCCCTGTGCGTGTCAACACAGGAAATCAGGTGGGAAACCCAGCTACCTTGAGATGATTTGTGTGTCACACCCCTGCTGCCGCTCAGAATAGGGGGGAGGCTGATGCTCGGGCTCGCTCCATTCCCAGCTCCTTAGGGGATTCAGAGAAGTCTCAGAGCTGTGGTTTCAGTCTCTTCATTTCCTGGCCCTAAATTGTACGACACAGAGAAATTCAGTTGTCTGTGTAGCATCATAATCAAGAAACAACTTTCTCCAAATTGAAGGACTTAGAGGATGGGAGATCTGGTTGTCGAAGGGTATAGATTTAGACCAGATTAGGTGAAATTTGGGGAGTCTTTTGGAAAGGAGAGTCTTCTGATGGTCTGGATTTTCCGATTTGTTTTCCAATTTTAAAGGTAGAGATTTGCACAGAATTTAAGGTTGTCCCGGTATTTTCAGTGGGGTGTGAAAAAAGAGCTTCCAAACTAGATATTAGAGGTTCAGCACCTGTTTCTCAGATATCTAGACACTGCAGGCATATTTTAAAGACTTCCTGGATGGACGTTTGCCTACTTTCCTAACCCTCATGTAGCTCTTCCTTCTTATAACTTGAATCTCTTGAACTGTGTGGTCTGGAAAATGAACTGCCATTGTCCCTCCAGCAGGCTTTGCCTTTAATCCCTTAAATGATAATTTTGCAAGCATTCGTTCCTCATTCATACCCTGACCACCTTAATACCAGGTGTCTGTGATGGGCCAGGTGCTGTGCTAGGGCAGAAGATCTGGCCAAAAAAACCACCTTGAGAGTCACTGCCTTCGTGGAGCTTTGAGTCTAGTTGGGGAAGAGGGACAAAAAATAGTATTTTAAAAAATAGATTGATTTATACTCTTGATATGTGCTCTGGTGGAGAAATACAAGATGCTGGTGAACATATGCAGGCAGGGAGATCAGACATAGAGTCCATCAAAGAGTGAGATTCAGGTTGAACACTAAAGGATGAGAAAATGGCTATAGGAACAGCATTTCTGACCAGGCAGAATAGCATGTGTTAAGGTCCAGGCTCGGGAATGACTTGGTAAATTCGAGAGTATGAAAGAGGACCAGAGTAGCTGGAGGTAGTAGGATGTGGGAAGCAATGGGGAAAGACGGTCAGGTGGTGGCTACTCTTCTAAAAGAGTGACAGTGAGCGGCCCCTGGGTGGCTCAGGTCATGATTCCAGGGTCCTGGGATCGAGCCCCACGTCAGGCTCCTCTCCCTCTCCCTCTGTCCCTCTCCTGCTTGTGTTTTCTCTCTCTCAAATAAATTGATAACATCTTAAATAAGTAAGTAAGTAAGTAAGTGGCAGTACATAACCAGAGAGCTCCTGCCTTCTCCATTTTCCCTGGAGAATTTTCCATCCCCTCCCCGCCCCCCCGCATCACTTCACTGTCCACAACCTGCTGCCTTTCTAGCCCCGAGTCAGTGATTCATGCTGATGTCAGAAGAGCAGAAAGAGGGGTGTCTGGGTGGCTCAGTCAGTTGAGCGTCTGCCTTCAGCTCAGGTCATGATCCCAGGGTCCTGAGATCCAGCCCTGCATGAGGCTCCCAGCTCGGCGGGAAGTCTGCTTCTCCCTCTCATTCTGCTGCTTCCCCTGCTTGTGCGCACGTGCTCTCTGTCAAATAAATAAATCTTTAAAAGAAAGAAGAGCAGAAAGAGACTGCATCTGAGACCTGCCTCAACACCAGCTTCTTTCAAATATGACTTCCACCGATTCCTTATGTGTTTAAGCAGAGATCCTAGGATTCCATCGAAAATGACTAGGAAGCCACAGATGGGTTGAGTCTAGTTGGGGAAGAGGGACAAAACCTACCTGTCCCACCAACCCTACCCTCAGCAAAGAATCCAGAAGAAGATACAAGCAACAGGTACTCAGTGCCTGTTGCAGAGCCAAGCACTGCTTCTGCCTCGGGGTAGGTGCTCAACATATTCCCACAGGGTGAATTGTAGCATTGTCTGTAATTAGTGAGATTTCAGAACCAGCCTCCATTACCAACAGCAGGGAAACAGTTCAGTGCATTATGCTACACCCACACTCTTGAGTATTATGCAGCCCATAAAAAAAAAAAAGATAATTATGAAGATTCTGTCACAAAATGAAAAAATATCCACAGTGGCATATTGAGTGGAAAAAAAGCAGAATGCCAAATTCTAGCTACACTGTGATCACAGCTTTGTATAAATTCTTGGTGCATGAAGACAAAAAATGAAAAGAAAGTGGGGGAAAAAAATCCAACCACTAATATGCAATAGGAGTGCAATGTAGAGTGATTTCTCTTTGGTTTCTGACCACGGATCTTGTTTGTTACAGTGTTCTGTGGTGATACATGAGGGGAAAAACAGTAACATAAAATTTCTTGAGATGCAGATTCTTTTGTAAGCCAGTCAATTGGTAAGCTTCTTTTGAACACATTTTCAGCCTTCAGCCAGGCATTGTAAAGGGAATGGGGGGAAATAGTTGTAATAGAGATCTCACCTTTACGTCCCTTGCTCCTTCTCTGTCTGACTATGCTTGAAATCAAGTAGAAGAATTAGAAGCTTTGAGCATGTGCACCTCACTGTAAGGACTTCAAAAGTAAAGAGGAGAGAGAGAGAGAGAGAGAGACAGAGAGACAGAGAGACAGACAGACAGACAGAGAGCACCAAAGTGGGCAGTCCCCAGCAGGGAGGTTGATGGAAGGGAAGCATTTCAGTAGGTAGCCAGAGGTGGGGAGCGAATCCCAGCTAGGCGAGCGGGTGCAGACAAGGCGGATCATAGCCCCAGGCTCTGCTGGTCTCCTCTCCCTCTGCTGACCCGAATGATTGGACCACGGTGGTGCCCCTCAGATAATCCTGCCAGGGGAAAGTTCCTCATTTTACAGATAAAGAAACGGAGATGATAGAAATCAAGGAGATTCTAATCACCTAGAGAGAGCACAGAGTGTGATCAAGAATGAATTCCTAGGGGCGCCTGGGTGGCTCAGTCGTTAAGCATCTGCCTTCGGCTCAGGACATGATCCCGGGGTCCTGGGATTGAGCCCCGCATCGGGCTCCCTGCTCAACGGGAGCCTGCTTCTCCCTCTCCTGCTCCCCCTGCTTGTGCTCTGTCTGTCAAATAAATAAATAAAATCTTAAAAAAAAAAAAAAGAAAGGATTCCTAGAGGTGGTATTGCTAAGTAATTGTACACTTTTACTAGGAAGCCTACTATGTGCCAGGCACCGTGCTCAGCACCCTGTGAAAAGGCCTCTTGTGCACTGGGTACCGTGCTCAGCCCTCTGGGAGAAGCCTACTATGTGGCAGGGACTGCGCTCAGCCTTCTGTGTACCGGACACCGTGCTAGACCCTCTGGGAGAAGCCTGCTGTGCACCAGGCACTGTGCTAGGCACCCTGAAAGGGCCTCATCCCTCTGTCACGAGCTCGGGGGTGAATGGTAAAAGCTATGGCACAGGGGAGTTCTCAGAGAAAGAGGAATTCAGAAAGAGAAGCACTGAGCAGAGAACCAAGGATCCACTTGGAGATGAAAGTTACAATAAAGGGGGATACATTTCTTGGCAAAGTCAAGGGCTTCTCTCCCAGTAATGGCCCTGTTGGACCTACCACTGCTCAGGAGAAATTCTTCACTGATCTGTGTGGGTGTGAAACAAAGAGGTGCATTCACAATAAAGGGGCAAGGGGGTGGGGACCCAGGAAGGACAGGCATGAAAACCTCGGATCAGCAATTCCAAAATATCTTGCTGCTGAATTTGGCCAGCGAATCTCTGAGCTGGGGCTCTTTGTGTTTGCCTTTTGAATCTGCAGAGATTTATGACAGCAGGAGAAAGCCCTTACTCTGTCTGCTTACACACACGCAGGTGAGACTGGCACCGCCCGAGACTGGGGGGCGGGGAAGTGCTAAGAAATGAGGATGGCCCCTGAGCTTCTGAGCGGTTGCCTAGCTCTGCTTGTGATTTCCATGGTTGTTTCATTAGAAGGAGCTGCTAAGGTGCTTTTCAGTGTGAGGTTGAGTAAGGGAAGCCCTGTTCCAAGCCTACTTGTGGGGCCTGGAGCATTGGAAATAGACCCGACTGAGTCCCATTCTGTCTGATCCACTGGTTGAGCTTGTAATGATTGAATGGGGGATGGAGAACCTTTTCAATTTTGCAACTCACCTGAAGGAACATATCTAGCCTTAAAAGGAGCAACAACTGCTTAAAGATTTTTTTTTTTTAAGATTTTATTTATTTATTTGACAAAGAGAGACACAGCGAGAGAAGGAACACAAGCAGGGGGAGTGGGAGAGGGGGAAACAGGCTTCCTGCTGAGCAGGGAGCCCGATGTGGGGCTCGATCCCAGGACCCTGGCCTGAGCTGAAGGCAGACGCTTAACGACTGAGCCACCCAGGCGCCCCAACTGCTTAAAGATTTGACAGAAACAACCAAAGCATCCTCACCCTTG